GGAAGACCATTGTTTCACTCACCCTTGTACTGCAGTGGGTGAATGCTGGCCTTCTAATCAACAACCTGTGAAGACCAAATGCAATTCTGATTCTTATTACCAAGATAACTGTGCCAACATCACCTTCACCTTTAATAAGGAAATGATGGCACCAGTAAGTAGCAGAACGTAACTTAATATGCTGTGGTACTCACACACTTGTGTCTCTGAGCATGAAACAACATACTTAACCATACTGTAAAAGTACAGAAAAAGCTGATGCTCCTTCATTACCAAAAAAACCCAGAAAATATGGAAGGTTGATACACATTTCAACCCTACATGTTTTTGTGTCCAGACAGGAATAAAAGCTGGTTTGAAGGGAATTTTACGCTCCCCATCCCCCTGTTTTAGAACTTTTATTTAAGGGCAAACTCTCCCTTCTGCCTAGGTGTAAGAGTGTATGTGTGTATTTTATTATATATAATTATATTCTATAAATGCATTTAATATATGTATATATAAAATAAAAACATATGCTTAAAATTTGTATAAGAAAACACATATAACATATCTAAATCATATATATGATCTATATACACATAAATACAAATGCATAAACATAATACATATATTTCTATAAATACTTTTTGTGTGTATTTATGTGCATATATATATATTTAAAAAACAAAAAGCTTTTCTTCATCTCTTCCAGGGCCTTACCACGGAGCACATTTGCAGCGAATTGAGGAATCTGAATATCCTGAAGAATGTTTCTGTTGAATATTCCATCTATATTACCTGTGAGCCTTCACACTTGGCAAATAATGAAATACATGTTGCTATTGTAAGTATTCCTGGAATATTTCTAGATGTCTTAGTAGTTAATTGCCTGGATATATGTGCAACATGTGGATTTCATAAAAATCATAATTCATGGCTTTGTCAGCACTTCTCATGGTTTAGTTTTCATCCCAGCTCTCTTTTAAGGACAGGGAAGAAACCTAGGTTACATGTGCATATCTGAAAGCTATCCTCTGGCAGCAACTGTAATAAGGCAGTAAACCATTTTCTATTATACTCTCTTGAGCACTGTTTGTTTTGCTTTGTTCATGTTAAAGATAACGGGGACTGAAGTTCTGCAATATTATTTTCTTCCTGTAATTGGGATTTTTGTTTTATTCCTGTTTTTCAGTTTGGTTTGGTTTAGTTTTTCTTGTTGGTGGTTTTTTTGGGGTTTGTTTTGTTTTTTTGAAGTATGAAAAGTACTAAGAGCCTTAGCTGATTGTGAAAGTTTATAGATAACAGATTACATCTGATCTGGCATCTGGTATTAATTGTGTGACTTCTTTAGTCTGCTGAAGATATAGGGGAAGATGAAAACCCAATCAAAGAAATCACAGATAAGATTATCGACCTTGTCAGTAAGCGTGATGGAAACAACACACTAATTGCTGCAGTTGCAGAAGTCAGAGTACAAAGACGACCGGTTAAAAACAAAACAGGTAAGTTTTTTCCCTGCCTCCAAATGACTTGCATGCTTTTTATGACTAGCAAAGACTTTCAAAGCAGGTGAAGCTTTTCTTACTTTTGAATCTATAGCAACTGTGAGAATCTCTGCCTGTTGGCCCTGTAACTGGGAACAACAGAATTTTGCACCAGGATCTTGCTATTTTGAATAATAACATAAAGTGTTCTGCAAATGCAAGTGACCTACCCTCTTAAAAGGGCTGCTCCTTTCCACGTAGAAGCAAGGAAGAGAGCTAGCTAGTTCTGAGAGCTCTCATGTAGTTTATGTGGTGACACCATTGTCCAGATGCAATGAATTAAATATTAAGGTCAAAAGTGTCCAATTAGCTTTCTGCATAGCACCAGGAATGCACGGGCATCTTATGGCCAGCCACAAGTGGAGAGGGAAATGGCCTGGGAGCAATTGGTTACATGCCCACCAAAGTCAAGAGAGACCTGGCAAGGCAGTGTAATGCAGCCTGCAGTACTGGTGCCTGTGATGACAAGAGTCAAGTCTTCCATGAGGGGGCTGTTAGCTAGTAGTTAGAATACTAAACTCACTTAAAACATCCTGTATTCTAAAAGAGCTGTGATTATCCTCACATTATTGAGACCAGTGCATAAACGAGGCTTAAAAGCTGAGATTACCCTTTGTGGAAAGCACTGACTGGAACACTTTGTTTGTAGCAGGGTTAACTGGTCTCATCTCTCTTCCAGATTTCTTGGTGCCATTACTGAGCTCAGTCTTAACAGTAGCCTGGATCTGTTGCCTGGTAACTGTTTTCTATTGGTGCATTCAAAAGCGCAGAAAGCAGAGCAGCCATACTCACACAGCATCTGATGACAACACCACCAACAACGTAAGGGAGCAGCTGAATCAAATAAAAAACCCCATAGAGAAACACGGAGCAAATACTGTTCCAATTAAAGACTATGAAAACAAAAACTCTAAAATCGCCAAAATAAGGACGCACAATTCAGAAGTGGAGGAAGATGACATGGACAAACACCAGCAAAAGGCCCGGTTTGCCAAGCAGCCAGCATATACTTTGGTAGACAGAGATGAAAAGCCACCCAACAGCACACCCACAAAACACCCAAACTGGACAAATAAACAGGACAACAGAGACTTGGAAAGTGCACAAAGTTTAAATAGAATGGAGTACATTGTATAGCAGACAGTTGGGTGCTGCCGTGCAGGGCCTTTAAATATCATTATAAAGGCACTCAAGAGCTTGTAGTTCTTAAACTGTTGTGTAATATTTGAGTCTAAGGCTATTATTTACTTAGAGTCCCTCTGTTAATTTAAGTTTTGACAAGCTGGCTTACACTGGCAATGATAGTTGCTGTGGTTGGCTGGAATACCAAGTGCTGCATTTCACATCTATGCAAAACTAGTCAAAAGTGCCCTAATGTAAATTCAGCTGTAGCTGATGCATCATGGAAATGTTTCATAAGGTATTACAGAGCCTTATTACTCTTCCTTAGCGTTAATTTTTTTTCTGCCAGATGTCCCAATTTATACCGTTTCTTTAGAATAATGCATTTTATTTATATTTATTGAATCTGAGTTTTTTGTATATTGGTTTTATGGTGACGTACAACTAGTTCTGTATTTGAAAGTGCCTTTGCAGCTCGGAACCACAGCAACTATCAAAAATAAGTTTATTATTTATTTTTTTATTGTATTTTTGTTGGGGGAGGGTGGGGGGAACTTGTCAGCAGTTGCTGGTAAATGAAGAATTTAAAGAGGAAAATGTGTCAAAAATAGAAGTTTGTATAGATATGTAAATAATTCTTTTTTATTAATCACTGTGTATATTTGATTTATTAACTTAATAATCAAGAGCCTTAAAATATCATTCCTTTTTATTTATATGTATGTGTTTAGAGTTGAAGGTTTTTGATAGCATTGTAAGCTTGTGGCTTCTTCATTTTGAATTTATTTTCTTGTTACATGTTGCCTATATGCCAAAATTAAGGTGTTCTAAAATAGTTTATTTTTAATAGGACGGGCTTTCATGCCTTGATGCTGGTTTTTGTACAATGTCAAATGTTTGAAACACCTTCCATAGTATCACTTTAAGACTATTTGTAAGTACTGACTGAGGCAGTTTAGATAATTAGACTAGAAAATTTTTTTTGCTGCTTTAGACTTGAAACCGAGTGACAGGCAGATAATCTGCTAAGAAGCAGTTTAAGGGAACAAAACTGAGCTATTACTTTATGTAGATGAAATGTGAGTGGTTGCATGTAATTAAAATATCAAATTAGCGTGTGAAGTTGGAAACACAGCAATCTTATTTTGTAAATTCTGATTATTTTTTTTTCTCACCATGAATATGTAATACTGAACCACTTGTAGATTTGAATTTTTTTGTAATCTACTGCATTTAGGGAGTATTCTAATAAGCTAGTTGTTGAATACTTGAACAGTAGAATGTCCAGTAAGATCACTGTGTAGGTTTGCCATAGATTACACTGCCCGCCTTAACAAGTGAGGAAATCAAAGTGCTATTACAATGTTTAAGATCAAAAGGCTTATAAACATACTAATCTCAGTGGTTAACCATTGAGATCATGAAGATACCTTGTATTGTGATATTAGTGTTATATGAAAATGCATCTTTGATGTGTTGTTCCTGGCAATAAATCTTGAAAAGTAATATTTATTAAATTTTTTGTATGAAAACATAAAACAGCGTGGAGATTATTGAGCTTGGAAGCGCTCCCACCTGGTTAGTTGTGCTCAAGCAGTGGCAAGTGATGGCTTACATTTCTAAGCCCTGATGCTGATTTTGGTGAAGTCGAGCTTTTTGTTGGATGATTACGCGGTTCTGTCTGGCTTTCATTCAAATTGAAGGGGTTCAAAAGCAACCTGTCCCTTGTTCTTGATGTCTTTTGGCTAATGTACCTCTGTGTCCTTTTGAAAAGAGAATGATAATGTGACTGGAATTGTGCAACTAGTTTATTTTGCATGGGCCAATGAACCAGCTGGTAACCAAATCTAAGTAGCTAGGCAAGATACAAACTGCTGACCTGGATGGGAAAGGAGCCATAGATTATACTGATGCCTGATGGGCAAAAAAATGCTTTGTAAAGCATAAAATAAACTCTCAGAATACTCTGAAATGGCTCAGTGCTTAACTAATGCAGCCCCTCCTGGCTTTGAGGGGCTGGGTGTGGAAGTACTGGTCAGTTGAATGATACCCTGCTCTTCATTTTAGCACATTTCCCAATGAAGCTGTGACTTTGCTTTGCTAAAGCTGACAGAAACATTAAGTAAATAACAAATTCAGCTGACAAATAATATGAAAGAGGTTCATGTTCCTTCTTGTACTTCATCTTAAGCCACTCCATGCAAGAGTTGAAAAACAATAGGCTTTTTCTTTCATATTTGTTTGTAATAAATGCAGATAGCTTATATAAAGATTGTTATAATACAAACACTTGAAAATAATCTGAGCACAAGTCCTACTATTCTGTACTGTCTTTATCACCATTTGGGGAAAAAAAAAAAAAAAAAAAAAAATTAAAATCTCATTTTTTAGTGTTACTTTTTTTTTTTCAAGCTTATTTTAAGATGAGATTCTGACTTGTTGCTACATACTACCTTGAAAGGGTTACTGCTCTAACTGTTCACAGTTGCATGTCATGTAGCTGAAGTACCAGGGAATCACCAGTTTACTGCTTGCTGAAGGAAAAATTGACAAGATTACCTTCATCTATCCACTTCAACAATACCTAAACAAATCCCATAAGTATTCTTTTTCCTTTGTTCCTAAATTTCTACTATCTGCAATAAAGCAAAGAAGTTGCATCTAAAAAAGCCACTTAATGGAATCCTCCACCTGGCTTAGAGGCACAGTGAGGCTATCAACTGACTTGTTTTCTGTACTATAACATTGAATTAACAACCTTCCTCTAGTCTACACTTCACAGAGGTCTCAACTTCAACAGTGCAAAACCATCTACTGCTTCTAAATCACATAAACATTTATACTTGGGCTTATTCCTTCAAATTCGAGACAGCCTTCTACTAAGCAAAAAAAAAACCAAAACAAAACAAAAACAACAACAACAACAAAAAAAAAACAAAAACAAACAAAAAAAAAACAAACAAAAAAAAACCACCAAAACAGAACACCAGGATTTCTGCTAGTCCTGGGAACGTGTTTGTGACATGCTACTTCAAAGCCTGCTGAGGCAAATTCTAATTAGACTTAATCATCTAACACAGTGCCAATGCTATTTAGATCTCCAAAGACAGCATAAAGGAAAATGTTGAGCATAGTATTAATTTATTTTTATATATTTTTTCCGTGGCAACAAAGCACTGTGTTGACCATGCGGAGGTTTTGTTAGGGCATTGATTTCCTGTGTAACTCATCATAACCTGATGGCCTTACAAAATCAGAGAGGTAAAAGTTACATTATATCCTTGTATCTCAGTGGTAGCTTCAAGCTTACTTTACACTGGAGAATTTACAAAAAAAAAGCAGTCTTCCAAAGCCCAGAACTACCCCCCAGTGGAGGGTTGATATACAAAATGTTTTCTATTGGGATGAAAATAAATAGAAATACAAACATTTAAGGCTTTTCCATTAGAATATCAAGGCATGTTTACATTTATGGAAACTGTTCATTTATGGTTTACTACTTTGGGAAGACGCGTTCTGTTTAGTCATGAGAAGCCTCCTGCTGCAAGTGTGTTTGGATTCCTATTTATCTAAGAATGAAAAATGTGTGCTTCTTGAGCTGCCATTTAAACATATTTTTAAAGTTCATAAGTTGCTCCTCTTTGCTCCCACAGTTCTGCTATTCCTATGGTTAACTGAGCCCATCAAATCTGGGTTTGGTTCAACGTGAACTGAACACAGCCACATCAAAGTCACTGCACCTCCACATGGAAAGGGCCCACCTTACATGGAGGTGACTAGCAAAAAAGCTGCTGACCATGCATATTACATCAGCCTGACAATAAATTCATGTCACTGGGTGAAAGATAGCCTTGGGAACGGCTATTTCTGTGTTGTTAATACAAGCAAATGACAGCCAGACAGCTCTTGTGTATTTGAAGCCCAGCATCTAAGTAATGCAAACCAGCTCAGGGCATAAATATGAAACTAGCAATCCTCAAGCTATCTTCACAGATGAAAATATTTTTCTCTTTGTAGTAGCAATACTTGTTCTTGCACCAATGGACACCTCTCCATGGCAAGAGTTAATATTACTAATCAGCTCCCTGGCAAGCTAGAAAATGTACATGGTTACTTTCTCCTTTGCTCCTTGAAGACTGGATGATGCAGCTTGTCATCTGCTATCCCCAGTGTGCCTGCTCCAGCCTTCATCCTCTAGCTTGGATTGCAGCCCTTTGGCTTTGCGGGGTTCCCCCGGAACAAGTCACAAGGCAAAGGCAATTTTTATATTTGTGTCTGCAAAGAAGATGAGAAGTTCTGACAAGGGAAGTACCAAATTCAGCCTTTTCCTCCCCAGATGATGGAAGTGATTGCATAAGCTCCTCCTCCCTTTCTAAAAGAAGCAAGATACTAACAGATGCTTGATATTCAAGAATTTTTCAGCTTCTCCTTTTGCAGTAGTAACACCAGTGGTCATTATGATTACTGTTTACAGAGTCTGTTTTTAAAGGCTAGCCATTTTTCCCCTTGGTTTGGGAATACAAAACCAAACAGAAAAACGTCTGTGCTGAATGTGATTAATTCCAATTCTTGGACGTGGAGGAGAAAAGAGTTGAAGGTTGTGAGCAGTCTGTTGGCCATCGGATGGTTGGCAGATGGCTCACCGAGCACTGGGGCAGCCGCGGAGCGCTGCGGTATCAGGCAGGCGTCAGACCAGAGTTGCAGCCCACAGCTTCCAGCCAGCTCCTTCTCTGTGATGTGCAAATTGTTCCAACCAGTTTCTCTACAGGGTGGAGGAATAAACTTCTATTCTTTTCATTCTAGCGTTATGAGATCACATGAATATTAAAAAGGGGCATGCACATCTCTCAAATTATAGCTCTAGACCCTTTTCCTTAAAGATTTGGTGCATAATCAAAAAGACAATTATTCTGGCAGAAAATAAAGCAGTTCCAGAGCTAGATTACCAATTCTTGTTGCTGAGGTAGTAACTGAAGGGGATGTCTCAGGTCTACTAAAGGATGTATCTGGCAATATCTGAGCAAATCAGTGGATTTCTCATTCACAAAAAGGACATTGCTACCTCTCACAGCAACGAATTCCCGACTCTGGAATAACTGAAACGTGGTAAAGGAGTTAGGATGTTGGAGGCTATTTCCCTGGACAAATTCCAGGTTATAGCTGAAATGCTCTAGGGCACAACATCATTTTCACAACTATTATACAAATTCTTAGCATAAGCCAATGTTGAACAAAAAGTCCCAATCTAAAAATGTCACCTTCTTGCCACTGTAGAAGAGACAAGGTCACACACTACCAGGTTCCAGGAAGTTAGTTATCTGGAATAAAGAAGTGAGCAAGAAGGGAGAACTGTGTTAAGAAACAGATGAACAAGTTGATGAAAGACTTTGCATGAGCTCTTTAACCAACATGCATTACCATGAAGAAACTGCTTGCTCTCAACCATCAAAATAAGCATATTCATACTCCTCTCAGGTTCAGCAGCAGAACACCCTGATATCCCTTTGATGAAAGGCTCGATGTGCTGCTGTTTCCCCAGTGCCCAATCTTTCCTTCATATAGTTTTCTGGATACTATTTAATGATTATCAGAGAAGAAAAAAGCAGAATGCAAAGTGAGGAGTGCCTTGTATTAAACCTAATTTCTGAGGCCAAGCCACATCTTCCACTGCTGCTCAAAGACTCTTGATACTATTAACTGTGTTTGCTCAAGCTTGCATTGGAGCGCTTTAATACAGCAGGAGACATTTTATTAGGTACTGATACAGACAACAAGATAACTACTGTTAACATGAACAACATGGATATTCTAGTTACATTTTACATCATTCTTATTTCAACTGCTTTTCAATGCAAACAAAAAGTTATTTCCTCTATATTTTTCCTTTAAAAAAGATCAACTTTCCCTTCGAAAGCCAATGAGATGATGATGTAAAAATGCCAATTAAAACCCAAAGATTGTGACCCACATGCAGAGTTGTGAGAGGGAAGGAAATTCACACTGAAAAAATAAATGTTCCAGCAAGTTTATCTAACACTTCACTGAGACAAAATATTTTGTAGCAAAGAAAGGTTTTGTTCTTAAAATTCTCCTTTTTTGTTAGAAACAAGTGTTCTTGATATTCTTCAAGTCAAGTGTTACGCTGAAATGCGACAATGCAGTGGTAGTAACATGCTTGTATGAGCTGTAGAACCTGGTATGCAGAACTACAATTTGACAATCATCAGAACTAGCACAGTGCCTATCACCCAAATAGAAGTGTTCTACTAGCTGAAAACTTTCCTACGGATCAGCGCTGGGCAAAGGATATTTTACATCAGCTGCTTTCTTTTAATATATAAATATGTAAAAGGCTGGCCCAGCCTTTGATGTACGTTTAAATACACAGCTTCACTACACAAATATTTTAACTGCTTCTTTGTAACACATACTGGAAATGATGGTCTGGGCACATTAGTTTGGCTGGGAAAGGACTGCTTCGCTATCAGCAAACAGCACAGACCAAATTAAGCAGACTGTGGGCTGTAGCCAGTCAGCTGCTCAGACCTACACATATTTCAGAGAAGTTCAAAGAAGCACTGAAGAAAAAACAAACGTAAAAAACAAACCCAGAAGAAAAAAATGAAGATGTTATTTCTGTGCTTCAATGGAGACTTCAGAATAGAATAGAGCCTTAAATATTTAATATCTTTAATAAAAAGGTATGCTAACTCTGCTGTGTAGCAAATTTGTAATAGCAAGCCTGGGCCAAGACTTGAAAGCTGTTCATTTTCCATTACTGGGGCTCAGTTTCCAGCAGGCATTCTTTTTTCTCCTGATCCTAACCGTGACTTGGAAACCAGGTTAGCATTTCTTGAGCATGCCAGACCACACACATCTGTCAGTCATCTGGATGCAGGTGGACTGCAGATAAAGAAAAACCCCAAGGCTCAGGAGAAGAACCTCGGGGTGAAAGTAGACAGGTAACACAAGCATATGCTAACAACACATTTCAGGTATCCCATTCAATTCTCCACAGCATTTGCAAAAGGTAAACTGTTATAGTAGTCCTAATGCACAGAGGAGAAGAAAGAACAATTCTGAGTGGTAGCACCATCTAAAATCCAGAAATGACGATACTGAAACTTTTTCCCTAAAATCCCCTGCATTTCTGAAAGGATCCAAGAGATAGCTTTTCAAATTAACTGCTAAATACACAGCCAGAAAGCAGTGGGTCTCAGAAACAAGCCTAGGGACCTAACAAACTACCAATTACAGTTCACTGTAAAGTTCACTGTAATTGTTCTGAGCCTGTAAGCTCAAACATTTTTAAACAATCTATCCCTACATTTGTTAATTTTACAAGATCACTATTTTAAACAGATGTTCTCATGTTATCAGTAAGGTGATGGGAGACAGCACTCTAAGTAACAAAACAAAATATCCTAAAAGCAAAATCAAGTACTCAGCTGCAGAAAAAGCAATAATTTTATCTGCCCTTACAAACGTATGAGAGTCATTTTTAAGGGTGGATGCAGATATGTTACTCAGTTACAAGTAAAACTAATCTGTAATTATAAGGCCAAACTAGTAAGAATAGTAATATTCACTGATATAAGATACACATGGTGAAGTGTATCTCACATCATACTTGATTCTAATACTTGAATTATGTTATTTTGAATAAGAGAAGTGCAAGAGGAGGGGAAGCTTCTGACTCTGAAGCTATTAGTAGTAGTTTGGGGCTTACTTGCTCCAGCCTGCCCACAGTTCTCACAGAAACAATCTGTGTGTTTGCCACTTTGGGAAAGCCATCATAACGCCCCTTTGCTAAGCAGAACAAAAAAAAAAAAAACAAATATCAAAAACAAATAAACAAAAAACCTAAAGTAAATTTGCCAACTCAACATGTGTCTGTTCTTACATAATAATCTTCTAATAGTTCATCTCCTACAGTTACCTGTTGCAACCAAGAATATAATGGAAAATTCAAAAGCATCCAGATAAAAAGCACAGTAGAAATAAAGGAAATGTAAAACTGCAGACTAGAATATATGCTTGTACCATTTGTTCTCAGATTATTCACTGTTAGGACTTAAATAAGCCATCTAGAAAATGGCTGAAACCTTAATATGTTATATTAATATATGTCTTAATATGCAATTCTGTTTTACTTACTTTTATTTCTCTGAAACTTAACTAGATGTCCTTATACTCTTTATATCTCAAAACAAAAGAGCAGTAAACATACCTCAGGTTGTTATTCCAAACCCAGGTTCATTTACAGCCTTCCTTTTGCTTGCTACTAGGAAAGACCTTTCTGCAGAGCCTGAAGATTGGCAAGCATTAGCAACCTTACTGCAAAGCACTGTAACACGTAAACAGGCTGAAAGACAAAAAAAGAACATGTATTCATGTATTCTAGCATGCATGCAGAATCCTTTTCCTTTATAGTAAAAGCAGAAGTTTTTTATAGCAGCAATGATGCTGTTCAACTATGAGTGCTTTGCTGACAGCTGCTGAGTTATTGACTCTAACCGGTACTACGCACCACCTCTAGTGCCATGGATGTGGATCTCCCCATGCATCTAGATGAGTCTACTCACAACATAAGCGTGTGTCAGTAAGAATTTTGCAATACTTTCTTCACATAAAATGTCTGTGCTTACACTGATCTTGAGAGAAGGGTCAAAAGGAAATTGCTTGCCGTTTTATTTTAACCATTTAAAAATATAAACATGAAATAGGAAGTTACATTTCCATAGCACATTAGCATACAAGTTACAAAAAGAGTACCAAAAAGCCTTGAACAGTTAAAAATTATCTCTATCTTAAAAAATTCCAATTGCTAACACCTCAAAAGCGCCGTGTGGTGACCTCACACACAAACAAGGGTTGATTTTGAAACCTGAGCGCATGTTTGTGTTACATTTTTACAGGTAGCGAATGCATGATCACTTGTATCCACAGCTCAGTTTAGAAATAGGTATTCATGTGAAAACTGCCCAAGCACAAGCAAGGGAAAGCCAACTGAAAATGCGGCCCTTCAATTACCAGCAATATTAAAATCCAGCTAAAGATGTATCTGAAATAACCTCAACTTGCCTTACTCTTGTAAACATCATATGAATAAACCAGAAACTTCCTAACATGGAAAAGGACTAATTTTCACCAAAACAAACTGTGTGCTTAGAAACAAGGAAAAAAAAAAAGAGATAACTGTAGCTGTTGAGGGATTACAATAGTGATTTGAGCTCATACTGTCATCAGCTGTCAGGACTTCTTAATAGTATCAAAACAATCACTGGTCTGAAATTTTGCTTAGTAAATATTACGTTATAGGAGATTTTTCTTTCTCTAAATATTACACTTGGTTTGTACCATATGTATGCATCTAATACGAAAAGATATAATTATCTTCATTACAGTTGCATATAGCTAAGATGCCTCGTTAACTGGTTATTTAAAATTTTATCTAATTTTGACTTTTTTAAAAAATATATTTTTTTTTAAATTTAATGGCTTCCTACTTTTTGTATATGCTTTCCAAGCACAAATCTGGCTGCCTGCCCACACTACCATGGTGATATTTCAGTCTTTATGGTTTCTTAAGCCTTCGTAGTTTTAACTTCCTGAGACCATCTTCACCTTCTTTTTTCCTTTTTTGGATCAGCTTCTTTGAAGACACAGTCTGCATTTCTAAATAGGATGCTGAAGGCACCACAGGTAATTCTTCAGTGGTTGTGTCTGGCTCATTTTGGTTTGTCCTCATAGAAAGAGGCTGGGATTGTTTTGTTCCAAAAGTAAGTAAGTTTTCATCAGATGCAATTTTTTTAAAGTCTTGTTTAGAAAACAACCTGGAATTAAGTGGGGTCTTCTCCTCCAAGAACAGACCTAGGTGATCATCACTACACTTACTCCTTTCTGTGTTGCCAGGAATAAAAGGAGTCTCTTCAGAGGATATTTCTTTGAAATGGTTTAACTTTTCTTCTGAACTACAACTCTTTTGTTGAGACTGTGTTTCAGATATTTTTTGATTTTGTTTTGGGCCTAGCAGTGCTGACTCATAGCTACAAGGAGAATTTTTGCTTAGAAGTCTTGACTTCAACCGCTCCACAGAATGAGGTTTTTGCTGGCTGCTAGCATCCTTTGCCTGTCTCTGATTAACATTATTTTCCAGCTCTGAAACAGGAAACTCCAAGTTGCTCTCAGCTGTATTTATGCAGTTCTTTAGCCATCCTGTGCTCCTCCATTTCACTTCTGATTGAGGACTGGGAGAAGTTTGACAGTCATTCTTTCTGTTCCCTGTCTGTAAGCCCACTGAGCCAAGATCCACTTTCTTGGAGTCCTTGTTGGTTTGAGGTTTGCTCACACTATTTTTCCCCCTTTTTGTCCTTTTCACACTGCAATAAAAAGGGATATTGTTTTTAATAAAAAGAAATGTTTGCTGTCTCAATCTGCCCTTCTTACAAAATCTGAAAGACCACCAGGGCAACTCTCTTTTTGAATGTGGAAAAAAAATCCCCGTATATCATCTTGACAAGCAGTAATGTTTGCCTAGTGTGGATAATATCAAGTATTATCCATCTGATTTTCCACTGCACTAGGGGAACCCTACTTATTAATGACTAAGCCACTAAGGAGTTCACATTCTATTCCAAGAGGCAGAACTGGATTCATTACAAGTGTTAAAGGTCAACACAACATAAGTATATTGAATTCCTTCCCAAACCGGCTAGATAAAATAGTATGTCATAAGTGCCTAAATGATTCCAAACCATTCCCAGATATCCATATGCATAATGTATATCTAAGAATAGAGGGGGGCAGGCTGGAGAAGCAGTGTGTGCGCCTGTGTGACTTTCTAATCTCTAGTTTAGAAACATTCCTCTGGAATTTTTCCCAGGACATTTCAAAGCACTACTTTAAAGCTAACCACCACTCATCTAATATCAAGCCTGCTCATCTGGGAAGGACTTAGGTAATGCATGCAGATGATATTCTGAAAGGAATTATACAGGAAAAGGGAATCAATCACAAGGGACATGACAGAGCATCAGTTCATGCACACTCCTCGGCAGAGTGCCTTACCTACCAATCCAAACTTCACACAGATTGCGAAATGAACTTTGTGCACGAGTACTGAAGCTGCCTACTTAAAGTTTTCAGTCTGAATTGCTATAGAACACCCCATATTGGCACTGCCTTCTGCTGGTCTGCTGGCACCAAGCAGTTCCCAGATTGATATTTAACTCCTTCGCAAAGTGGTTCCTACAGAATAGGTAGAACTGGCATCCTCCAAATCTAATCTCCCTTCCAAAAACAACAAACAAGACAACATGGGTTAAAACTGAAGTTTGCCAGACTTCACAGCAAATCCCCAAGTCCACAGTTGATATACTAAATATGTGGAAATTCTGGCAGTTGGTGCAAATAAAAATAGCACCCTGGTACAGCAGGCAACACGCTCTGCTGACCAACCAAAGCCCTCATCTACTACAGGCCAGAGCTGTGCAGGGCACTCTTCAGCTGTGGCAAAATATCCAGACTATCACACAACCACTGCAGATTCTCCAAACAAATGAAATACATATTTGCAAGTGTTTTTCACCAGACTCAAACAGCACTTATTTATTTTGGCTCAGAGCTTCTTTCAAGAAAAAGACACCCTGTTTTGGTTCTGCCTTGTGCTACAGGAGATATCTATATGGGTTATAACAGCTTTCATTTTTTTATGTCTTACAGAATAAGAAGGATCATTTTACATCCTTTATTCACAGCAGAGCGACAGCCCTAATGATGTTGAATAATCTTTTAAAGAGAAGTTCATATTATTTGACATTTTACTACATAGACTAGATTCTATTAACACAAATTCTATCAGGTTCTAAATATAACAACTTAGAAAGAAAGAGACATACATTTCCTTCAAGATATCTTGCTTTATCTGTTCATTCAGACTAAGCTGAAGCTTTCTGTTTTCAGAAGATTCAGAAAAATATTCAGATGTCCCATTGGAAACTTCTTTCTGTTCCAAAAGAAAACACAGGTTTGAAATGTGACACATCAAGATACAATTATTCAACATTAAGCTTCATTTCTAATACTGAGACTTGCAGATGTTCTTTATTATTCTGATCTAAGCAGTCTAAAAGAAACAGCAAAGAAGAGAATTATTTTTAATTTTTTAATACTTGGGTCTAGTCAGTTCACTCCCTTTTCAGACTCCCAGTGAACATATTTCATATGCTAAAATATATCACAAACAAACAAGACTGAAACATAAAGGATGCAGCTTTCCAAACTGTCTGAGAAACTGTTGGCAAATATTTGACATCTTTGTGGCTCAAACTGTGACAAATGCCAGGAATCTCTCTTGCAGACAGGAGCATGTTTGTCAGTTTTTTTCTGAAGAGACTGACTGGCGCAGTGGTCTGTACACTTATTCTCTGAAGAATTCCCATAATTTTCCATACTTACAAAAAATATACAGAGTATTACTTGCTCATTTAAGAAGGTAAGGGTTAAAATTTTTAATACTAACGTTCAAACACTCAAGCTTGTGGTGGTTGGCTACTACAGGACAACAGGGGAATTCTTTCTGGTCTCAACTAACAGCAGTACCATATTTTTAAATAATGTGAGATTAAGGCAACAGGGAGGGAAGGAAAATGCTCTTTTTCTTCAAGCTGTGAGCATTTCCTTTCACAATGAAAGGATCTCAATGAGAGAAGGGCCAGTTGCTGACTTCACTATTAACCACCACACACTTCAAAATAGTATTATCTCTGAGGCTAGAAAGGAAAAAAAAAAAAAAAAAAAAAAAACATTGCAAAGTCAAGAAGAGAAGAGGCTCTCTGTACCTCCTTTCCTCTGATAGCTTTTTTCTCCATCAGATCAAATGATGAAACTTCTGACTGGGGGGTCATCAAATGTAGGGAGTGCTTCTTGATATCATTTCTTGATCCGAGCTCTAAATCCAGCTCACTAAAAGCCAGGCAGTATGAAAGAATGGAAACACAGGGGGACAGCAGAGGGAGGAAGCTAAGCATGTATATGGAACATGTTACCTAGAACGCCACTCAGGAACCTGTCACTGAGATGGGATTAAGCCCTGCCCATTTCAGTTCCTATAGGAGAAGGGGTAGATCCCACCACTCTTTCCAGAAGAACAAAGCAGTGAAATCAGTTTTCTGCCTTCTAAGCAGAAAGAGGGTAGTCAAGTCAGGCAAAGAAAATGGGCCCTTGTGACATTTCAAAAAACTACAGCTGTTTAGAGCCTTCTTTTCGGAGGCAATCTGTGCAAATGTTTGTGTGTACATTAACAGATGCATGAAGTTCTGTGCACAAACACTGCAACACGTGTTTACAATAAGCACAAAATACATTGGACGTGCGTGCAAAGCGATTTCAATCTCAAAAATCAAGCCTGACTAGTTTAATCTGAAGGATGAATTGCTGCTTCTATTCCTGTGAGAGATATGGGCTTCCTAATTTAACTTCATATGTTTTCATATTTTGTGAGCTACTGAAGAAGGAAATATTATGAAGATACTAAAAGATCTGTGCTACTTTTAAGAGAATGCACAGACTAACTGTAAAGTCTGTAGAAACTAATTTGACTTCCTGTAACATCTGCACGACTCAGACTGAAGGATCTTGCACAATAATGCTGTATCAGAGCAGCCAGAGAGCACTCTTACTTAGCCAGAGAAGTACAAACAGAGAAGCATCTGAACTTTCCTCGTTGCAAGTTATAGTAGTTGGAAGGGCTAATTGCATTATGTCTGCTTCAGTCCTCAGCTGAGAACATCAGTGAGGCAGCCTATGATAGGATCACCAGACCACTAAGATGATTTTCGTAGATATGGTAAACAATGGGTGGAAAGTAGCACTTGGTACAAAAACCTGTGTGTCAATGCAGACAGGGGAGGATCGAGGACGGCTGCTGTCCACACATACTTACTACTGCAGGTAAGCAATAAACCTCAGTTCTAACTTGTATCCCATTATAAGCAGTGAACGATTGCTGCCTGGAATGTGCAGTCAAGGGTGTGAAGAGCAGACCCCAGAGAGAGGCGGAGATAACAAAGCCACTCCGCTGTGAGTTGAGTCAGACTGGAAGTTAATGGCTCAGAATGGAAGGGCAGACACGTTTGCTGTGCCATCATCAACCTTTCATTTTGTCTGCCAGTAACTTATCGCACAACGCAGTGACAGAAAAGGGTTAAGGTATTAAAAAAATAATCAAAATGATTTATATGTGAAACACTTCTGAACATGCCCTCTAAGTACAGTAGATTTTCCCCTTAGAACCACACCCTGTAAGTGCTGTATTTTGAGAGCTGAACAATTAACATGAGGCATATGAGTCAGTCTTTGAAAAACTCTGTGGGAACCAAAGAGCCTTTTGCTATTAGGAGTGATGTAAACTCCCTAAGGCTGGAATAAGTCCACAATAGAAGGCAAAGAGTCACAAATAACAACAATGGGCACTCCATAAACAACTAAGAGATTCAGTCATTACTGGTGATACTTCCTTTATTTTCTTTATTAGACTTAATTATTTTAGTTAATTAAGAAAAATAAAAAATCCTGTCTGTTTTGGGAATACTATTTATTTCCTATGGGAACTTCAGAACTTGTTAAAGAAAAAAAAAAAAGCTAATCTGTTCTCATCCTGTCTAGTAATCCCAAATTCCTTTTAGGCAGTGAAATAATTAAAGAAAAATATTCCAGGCATAAAAAGGAGGACAGCAGAAGCAGACATCATATAAACAATGACACCACGACAGAGAAAAACGTCAAAGCACCGCCAGACTTGTGACTTGACTCTGAAAGAGCTGCAGGGAGTGGGGTTGCTGCTAACAAATTAAAACCACATTTCTTGGCAAATTGTTAAAGACAGACATATTTACATTTGTATAGAGACTGGGTGGGCACAAGATTAAAATGCTTCTTTAGCCTTTGAACTGCCAAGATCTATTAGAAATCTGTGCTCTTAAAATCCTAGGGTAAGCTCACTCCTTTTTGTCACTAAACTCAGCTAAGGGCGTGCAGAAATGAAGCTTACAAAGACTTACTGAACTGACTACCTGCTCAAAATACTGACCTTGCAAAACCTGCTCTGAAGATCCTTAACATTTGTCCAGAGAGATGTCTGGAAAAAACCAAGAACTTCTGCTCACACCCACACATAAACATGACTTAGGCACAAAATATACTCCTTTTAGGCTTTTCAAATTGAAAATCCATTCTTGTACTATCTATACTCAAAAATAAACCTTCAGAAACATTCAAAAGAAGGGTGGCTGCCATCTGCAGCCCTTTCCAACACAGTTCAGTTCAGCAAAGCTGCATTAAATACTTGCAAAAGAACTAAATATGGATTTGCACATATCAAGTATCCTTACAACTTACAATCGTGAAGGAGACTGAAAGGTTTGGCCTTTTCCACGAATAAGCTTTACAATATCGCTCACACTTGGTTTGTTTTTGCTGCCTCCTTTCCCTCCTCTGGTTTGGGTCCATATTTTCTAGTAGTCTCCTACTATGCTCAGGACAACTGTTGCACATGCTTATCTACCACTAAAGTAACTGTAAAAAATAATTAAATTTCATGTCTGCTTAAAGGAAACAAACCACACTATTTCTGAGTTGCACTTATCAATGTAGCTCAAGTTTCTCATCAAAAAAACTTAATAGAAAACATCAGAGTCCCATAAATCATATTTAATATTGGAGTAGCATATAAGAGTCCCTACTGAGGCCCCACTGAGCACACGCAGCAAGACAGTCCCCAACATCAGACTATATACAACAATATAGATGAAGCAATGCTATAAAGTATTATCCCAGTAACACATGAAAAAAATTATAATTAGTGAAAAAAAAGCAGTTAAATTCCTATTCTTGGGAGCTTTATCTAAGTTGCAATTGCATGATTTTTCTTAATGTCAGTGTCACATTAGCAGTGTCATAAGCTCAATCACATAGATCTTTAGATCTCAACGCTGTTAAAATAGATGCCCAGCAGATCAGTGTGGTCAGACAGGGCTATTTAATCTGGTAGACAACTGGGGGGGCTTGCTAGTGAAGGATGAATCAGATACTATATCATATACAGTGAAGTCTAATCTTCTATCCAACCATACATGAATGAAAAATCTTCCAGTCATTTCATGACTTGTGAGACAAAGATTACAGTGTTCTCAGTGCCGCAATGTAGCTGTCTTACAGATTCTACTTACAGAATCATACAATTGTTTGAGCTGGAAGGGACCTTCAAAGGTCAACTAGTCCAAAACCCTGTAATGAACAGGGACACCTACAGCTTGATCAGGTTGCTCAGAGCCCCATCTACCTTGTCCTTGAATGACTCCAGGAACAGTGCATCCACCACAGTTCTGGGCAACCTGTTCCAGTGCCTCATCACTTTCACTGTAAAAAACTTCTCCCTTGTATCCAATCTAAACCTCCCTCCTTTACTTTGAAACCATTTCCCCTTGTCCTATTACAATAGACTCTACTAAAGAGTCTGTCCCCTTCTTTCTTATAGGCCCCCTTTGGACACTGAAAGGCCCAGAACCCAGCACTCTCACTCAGAACTTCTGCACTGTAAAACATTCACAGTAATTTTCCAAGTACAGAAAAGGATAGTATTCTCAACCTGAAATACAATTCCTTGATTAGACTTGCAGAATATTACTTTACATTTTCAAATGGACTGTTCTGTATGTCAGAAAGTTGTAGTAAAAATATCAAGGACTACTTTCTACGTTACACATGGGAGTACTGATTTCCCACCTGAAGCAGCTATTTTTCAGGAACAATGATGGTTTTGAAATACATTCTTCTGAAAAGGTTGAAACTCGGGTAATAAACAGAGAAAACAGGATCCTTTCAGTGCATAACCTAAAATCTACCAGCTTAGCAAGAAAGCAAAATCTAATTCCCAGATCAGCAGTCTTCATTATCTACCACCAAAATTCATTTTGATCTGATTTTATGGATCTCAACTGTTATGCT